TGGAAATATAATAAAACAATAAGCTTTCTAAAAAACCTGCATTGGAGCAACAACTACTAGATGAAGAACAAATAAACAACACCTATCCACCACAACTCTCTACTTGCAAGTGGTGAAGGTCCTATGGACCTGTCAACCCTATCTCAAAAAACATCTCAGGACAACATGCAGACTATCGATAGCAGTACAACTAATAGTCAAATGCAAACCTCTACACAACAGACCCCAAATACTTCTAAACAACAAAGTGGGTTCGTTGCATCCCCTCTAGCTTACTTCTTTCGCAAGACAACCAATTCAAAGGTCACAACAACTTCTAGCACACAACAAAAGGACCTAACAGCAGAATACACTAAGGAATTCATCAATATTACTATTAAAGACTGGACAAAACTTATCTTCACTGTTACCTTTATTATCTCTAACTTCGCTGATAGATACTTATTCACTATTGACCTTACCAAGTCTGGACGTATTCTAAATTTGGTTAAATTTCCTGCACAATGGATATGCAAACACAACAATGTTATTTAATCAATTCTATTTGATCTCACAAACTATTCCAAATGTAACTTCATAAACATTAATGCCAAATTACCTAGAAGTACTTGTAGCTATGACTTAGAAATTACAATTAAAGCATATGAAGACATACAAAGGGCCTATGTGGCACCAAAATATTCAAAAGAACTACCACTAGTTTCTTACAATCTAATACCAGAATTGATACAGATGATGACGTTTACCAAAACAAGGAAGCAGATAATGCAACAAGTGCTATATCTATCCCCCAAAAGGTCATGACCAATATCAACACCCAAACAGTACACAGTAATACAACAGCCTCTACAAGTAAAAACAAAACTAGCAGTTATACAAAATGAGCCAATAAATGCTCATCTATACAAGCTAATAGATCAACAAGCAATACAGCTGATCACACAGTGTACAAACCGACTACACAGCTATCAGAAAACCAAAAAGGAAAAAAATGAGCCAGGCTACAACCAATCAGTACTGACTCAACTAACTTATCCGTACCTATACACTCACCTTCTACAATTTTACCCACATATTCATCTACTACAATAGATCTTAATTTCATTCAGAAACCATCCTATAGTGAGGTCATACAGAAAGGCTTTAAACTACCAACCTTCAATACACCAAATAACTCAGAATAGGCAGATCATATACAAAATAAAATATTAGAAGAAACTAAAACACCATTTGATCTACAGCTCTGGTCATACGACGCAATAACAACAGCCTTACAAACAGCAGCTGGCATCCAACAGTTTGTTGAATACAAATGCAGTTCTATCTCAACTCAAATAGAAATACCCTCGGCAATACAGCTAAAATTTAAGCACCAAGACACAAGATTCTTTACTACATTTACAAGAAATGCTAATACAATGCCAGCACACCAAAGAGAGTATGCAAATCTATACAACGATGCAGTTAGAAATTACAAAACATCTAATCACATTACTATCATCGATGAGATACACACAACTTAATTTACTTAATGCTAAAAAAATACTCATTTCACAGTACCTAATCAATACAAATTTTGTTACTCTTACACCATTTGCAATATTTAAACTCATTTATTATGTCAGAGGTTTCTTACAGATCCAAAATGAAAATAAGCATACACCAAAAGAAATTAAAGCTGCAATTAATCAGGCACTACAAGAAAAGCTTGCCCCATTATCAGCAAGTTCAGAACAAATTCTGGAAACAGTTCAATGTATCCTACTATTTAGTCTACCTATTATACAACGATCATATACTAAGGCTATAGTTAATGGATTACGAAAAATCTTTAGATTTGATTAGCTCCCAGAATCGTATTTTGCTCAACTGCCACTAGTACCAGAGAATGTAACTAACATTAATGCTAAACTTCAGCAATACTTCCCTATCACAAGCTGACAAGCTCTTCAATACCTAGGATACTATCGCCGCAAACTTGCTAATTACTATACTGTAGACTCTATTCCTAAATCATACTTTCAACTTCTACCACCCAAACAGCCACTTCCCACGACATATCAGGAATTAAATCCAAAAGTTAGAGGATTCTTTTCTTATAACCCAGATGAAAACAATGCACCATTAGCAGAAGTGGTAGCTTTAGTACGACAATACTATACATTTAAGCTTCTTCCTAATGATTTTTTTGCAACTAAGCCATTACTTCCATCAAATCCAGTACACATTAAAACTAGCACACAATTTACTTTTCCAATTACTGATAATATTGTAGCCCAGAACTTTATGCATGAAGCCTCACAAAAATATAGAATACAACTTCTACTATCACATAATATTATGCAAGCAAACCCTACTAATAAACCTAGCCTACCTACTAGTGACCACGTAGTAGCAGAGCACAATATCACTATACCTATTATAATACTACAGCAATTAACAAATACAGTAAAACTTCTTCATCAACACTACTACTTTACACAGTTACCTGAAGAATGAATCAAAATCCCAGTACAAATATCTACACAACCAAACCCAAACTCTAGCAATGCAAATACTGATAACCAACCCCTTCCTCTTATACCAAATAATCTAGAGGATATCAATACAATTCTAGCTTCCCACAACATACAGCTAACTTTGCCAATTATATCACAAACACTTGTTACCTCTACTATGTAGACATTGCGTCAATACTTTATAATCAAAGCTATTCCCAACTTCTTACTTGACTTATCTTCATTATCAGCTCCATCCTGGGCAATATTTTCTTCCACAAATCCATCCTCAACCACTACTATACCAGAAGCTAACACAATGCTGATGGACATGAATTAACTATTAAATGATTACACAGCCTATAATTAAACCACTTATCATCACTACACACAATGTTCAAGGACTTAATCAAATTACAAAAAGACAATTATTGTTTGACTACTGCCTAACCCAGGAACTGGATATTATATCAATTACAGAAACAAAACTTGCACACTCAAAATACATAAATATCAATCTATACAACCAGCATTATAAATGTTTTACATCTAACAACTCAACTACAACTCTGCTACATCTTAGAGAATCTAGCGCAGGTATAGCAATTCTTTTACGTCAGTCACTTACAACATATGTGCACAGCATCTATACACTACCTGGTACAGCTATTGCAATTGATTTATTTTTCCCATATAAAAACAACTTTCAGATAATTTCAACATATCTACCTAAAGAAACACTCACCAACAACAAAACCCAAGACCAGATTATTCAATGGATCCAACAAGCCTGTTAACTTCAGATTATACCTATAATTCTAGGTGACTTTAATCAAGATCTACACAAACAACAGAGATCAACACTATACAAATACTTTGAATCACATAACTTTGTACCTTTAGTACATATATACCACCCCCACACACCTACGTGGAACAGAGAAGACCTCTCTAGTCAAATTGATGAAATATGGATACCACAACAAATTATGCATATAGTCACCCAACCTATGCTCACATCTGCAACTCAGGTCACACATAGTAATCACTGTATCATATATACCAATTTACAATTATATGTCAACCCTTCCAAACACCACAAAAAACATAAGTTCAAAACCTACAAATACGATAATATGACCCCAGAATTGTGAAACCAATTTCAACAAGCTACTCAACATATTGCATCACAGATTACTGAAACTATAGCACATACACTCTCAGTTAACCAACTCTGGCACCAAATTAGTACAGCAATCAACAAAGCAGCAAAAGCATACATATCATCCTCACGACGCTCACAAAAACAGTATAACACCTTTTCATCTACAGCAACAAAGACACATACAGCACTAAAGTTATGCGGCAATATACTTCACACCTTAGTGACACTATACAAAAACCCCAATAACCATCTACAGAATTACAGCAACATGCTTCAAATCATTAACCAAAAAATTAATAATATACAACAGCTATCGAATCTTCTTATTACAGGTCTATCCATTCAAGATATCAATACAAGTAATATTACTTAAACTATTAATATAATGAAGATGCACCAAAAAACTTTATATCATACAAGGGAAACTGAAAATCAACAAGCTCTATCACAATATATCAACCAATATATTGAGAAATGATATAACAACTTTACATCTCACACAACAACTATGATCAATAGCATCCTTGATAGATATACTGATATAGTAACATTTCAAAATATTAAACTACCAAATACTATCATTACAGATCCCTATGAGATCCGAAATCACATACGAAGCCACTTTAAGGGTAGGATGAATGTAGATCATTTTTCATATGAACCCATGTACAAATTTTTATATAACGTATGTCAAAATCGATCATCACACGTGATTCTAGAAATTTCCATAAAATCGAATAATGCAAAAATTTCAAGTTCTTAAAACTTAAGTGGTTACACAAAATACAGAAATATGTTTAAAGTTATCTTTATTTTAATAAACTATTTTATTTCGAAATTTTTTTTAATCTAAGAAATTAATTAAAAAATATCTTTTTATTTTTAGACGATTCTTATAATAACTATCTTGAGAGAAAATTTTAGACCTTATTTTACAAAGTGACTATGATCTTAATTAGCCTTTAAAGATTGATACAGTGAAACCTCTCTAAGCACATTCTCTATATATGTATACACACTCTAATGCATACACAGATTCTGGCCCAAATGTATACATAACTAGAGATTGTACCCAGGTAGACATTTTTATTATGGCTATAATAAATTACCTGAGTAGAGATTTTCTTGATGGGTACAATCTCTATATATGACCTTCATAAATGCACTTTTTCTTATTGTTCTCCAAGTGCATATTGTTAAATTCTGGTTCTGGGTGCGTGCACTTAGAGAGGTTTCACTATGCTAGGCTAATTGCCAATTCAGATGTTCAAATAATTATAGTCACAAAATTAGAACGAATTAGTCACTTGTCGAATACCCACTGAATAAAAAATCATATGCGAGAAAATAATAAATATCCTCTTGAATACTTTATTAAAAGTTATGCATTTCCAAGTAACGCTTCTAATTTTAAAAGTTGTGATGCCCTGAAATTTATCATTTTCTTCTACGCCAATTCTGTAATAATAACGAAGGATGGGTTAAAAATTTTATTAGTTATTTAGTTCAGTGAATTTTTGGTAATACTCAAATACTTTGTATCAATTTCATGATAATAAAAAAAGCCAAAAAAAAAAAATCATAACGAGACATGCAAAAACGAAAAGCCAAAAAAAAAAAAAAAAATCATAACGAGGCATACAAAAATGAAAATCTTGATGTTGTGAATAAACTTGTACTACTAGTGCTAATCGAATATAAAGATGCGAAACTATAATAATGAAATTTAATTAGAGTGTTATCAATGATAGCGTATTACAAAACAGAGGAAAAATAAAAGTAATAAAATACTATTACATCGTGAATCTTCTGCCTGATTAACTTAGATCGGAGAGAGAAAGGGCAAAGCATTTAGCAAAGCACCTTGAAAAACATCACTGTAATATCTTGACTAGTGGAAGAAAAGGCAGAAGCACTTGTAAAATATGTTTCTGATTTTTCAAGGATTAGTCTAATCAACATGGCTAAGAAGGTAGAACGTTAGAAGGGATTTAGTAAGAATACCATACTGACCTAATGATTCTTAGTCAAACCTCTTTAAGTACACGCCTTCATTAATAAGATGCATATAGAGAATAATAAAAATGCATTTATAGAGTCAAGTATATATTTGGGCCAGCACTTGAGCATGCATTTAAAGAGGGTGTGCACTTAGAAAGGTCTGAAATGTATATGTACATGACTTTATTATCTGACCAATCACATTTAGTATTCTTGTAATTCTAGAACAAATTTTTTATTTGTATAATCTAGGCAAATTTCGTTCAATCTAGGAAGAATTAACAATATATGTAAGTATGTTTTTTTTAAATAAAACAGAGGTTCAAAATATTATAATTAGAATTAGAAGGGTTTAATGTATCTATCCCAAAACTTTTATGAAAATCGATTATATTTTTAAAAACTTTTGTATATAATATATGTTCGATTTTTGTATAATATTTTTTTGGTTGATCTACTCATATAAGAAATAATCTACATTCACCCTACCCTTAAAAACTGCACAAAACACAACCCAAATGATCCTATACTTTGGGAATAATAAAAACAGAAATATATACCTCAACAACATATAAATACATCCTGGTATGATACACTAGCACAACCCATTTCTATAGAGGAAGTAACTCAAATGATAAATCAATCTCCTAACAACAAAGCTACAGGACCATCTCTAATTTTAAATGAAATGCTTAAACATATTCATCCTCATGTCACTAAACTACTAACAATCTTATTTAACAAATGCCTAGAGACTTCTAGTATATCTAAAATATGGAAATATAGTAAAATATATCCTATATCTAAAAAACCTATATTCACAGACCAACTAAACTACACAAGACCCATAACACTAATTGAGCATACACGTAAAATCTTTACTAAGATTATCACAAATCGGCTTAGCCAAATTATAACACGATATCTCATACTTCATCCAAATAACTTTGTAGCAACTCTATACACATCTATAACACAACCAATTCATATCCTTACAAACATCTTACAAGAAGTACAGACTCAAAATAAAGAGATTTGGCTCCTTTCACAGGATATGAGTAAGGCATATGAATCCATACATATACATCTTTTGCAATCTGCACTAAACCGGCTACATATTCCTAACAATATACAACAATTACTCATCAACATACTTACTGATCATCAAAATTCTGTCATAACAAACCTTGGCCCAACCCAACTTTATCCGGTATATGATGGGATTGACCAAGGTGAAACTATTATACCACTCCTATGGCGCATCTACTACGATCCTCTTATTACTACAATATATTCTGAATTTCAAGCCTATATAATGACTACACAACCTCCACGCCATCATTCAATTACATATTATACCTCTGTCCTAGCCTATATAGATGACACCTTATAGCTAGCACCCAATAAAGAGGCACTTCAACAAATTGTCAACCATGCCTCCTCCTTCTACAATATGGCACACATCACTGTTAATCCTATTAAATCAGTTCTAGCCACAAACTGCAGTATAGACTGAAACCCCTCAATTACCTTTGCAGACACAAACATTCCTAGTATACTACCAACAGAAAACTTTAGATATCTGGGCTGCTGGTTCACAGTATCTAGCAACCATAAGCAAATTCACAAACAAATCACTCAGGAAACTACTAACTTAATCAACACATTAAAAAAGAAGAAAGTTACAGAAAAACAGGCAATCTACATAATCAACACTGTACTCATACCACGTTTTTCATATCGAACACTTAACATATTCATTTCAGAAACCAGTAATCATACTATAACTAATCAATATACTCAGATTGTTAAATATAAAGCAAGGCTAGCAACAACTATCTCTAGCTCAACTATATTTCATCACCAAATCTATAGCCTCAGACAACTACAAGATATATAAATACAAAATCATATATCAGCCTTACACAACCAACTTAACAATCTCATTACAGCAAAACCAATAAAAATATATCTACAACACCTTCAAAATGCTACTTATTCATCAATAAATATTCTTGAATCATCACAGTTTATCCTACCTACCATATATCACAATATACTTACAGCACAAACTATATATACAGCACACAAGCTTAATATTCATATTCTTAACTCACCCAATCCTTGGCCAATATGCATAACACATCCTGGGACACCTATTGATATGCTAATCCAATATTCCAAAAAACTACACTATATTAAAATACACACCAACAAAGCAAAAATTTATACTATAGAACAGCTTACTAACCATACCAATACATATTTTCTCCAATGGCAACACATGCCATATAAGATAAATAAAACAATAACAAGATGCACACCTAAATGGTTTCTTACTTTACACAATATACTTCAGGACCCAGCAACACCTTTTATTCCAACAATCAATCCAAACCTATTTACAATAAACAATATAGAACCTACTTGCGGATCATAGATACTTTGTAAACTCAACAACCAAGTTATAATAGATCATGTAACAAAAACAAACATGCCAAATAATCAGCTACAAATCACACATTGGCTAGTATCTCCACTACCCGCAAATACTAATAACACATTATTAACTAAATACAAATCATGCACTTACACAGACACCATAAATAAACACCAACACTGTACTATTATTCTCTCAACTACCCAATGCATTACCATTAAGGTAACTAGTACAAAACAACTCCGTACAGATATTGACGACCTGTTACAACACCACTTCAAGCTTAACCCATCTGAAAAAAAACAAAAATGCCAACTAATTAAGAATAACATAGTATCTGCTCCAACTATCTCTAATAACTTATTAGACTAACTATTCATTACAGATACTGCCTTACCTCATCTCTCTCATCTTAGCCAAATTAACTCTCAAACAAAAAACCTTCAAATATATCTATATGTCAACACATCACACTTAAATACTTTAGATAGTCAGACAAACTTCGCTTAGACACTTTCACCAACCAATATTTCCTTTTCAGCCACAATAATACACTGGCCATCTACCACTAGAGCATATCTAATTGGAGTTATATCAATTCTCTCAATCGCCTCTCCTAACAGCAAGATCAATATACTTACACCTCACTAGCCAACTATAAATCATGTTAACTCAGTTATATAATACTCACATAATCTCAACCTTCTTATCCAGAAACACAATTACTGGCCTCTCAAACAGCTTATTCAAACTATCATTGCTCAAAAACACTTAACTATCAAGTTTACCTATATAGATTACAGAGCAAACCATTCACTCTTTCAAAAAACTATACAACTAGCAACTTTGTTACAGCTGCACAAAATTAAATTAGTATCATTTATATTAGACAACAACAACTTTTATCTTACATAGAACAATGTACCAGTAGAACATAAAACTCGTCGTTTTATTCAACATCTACAAAATGCAAGAAACACTGCTGAATGGCACTCTCTCAACAGAACAAGTAGCTGACAAGATATACGATCAAACACGAACTGGAATAGCACTCACCAATTTATCAACTTCAACAATAAACCACATACAAGATTTACACACCCCAAACTATCACTAAAGAAGAATTTTAAAATTAAATTTCTACTAGATGAGTTACTAACACTGCTCAACCTACATTATCGACACCCCAAAAAATACACAAACCCAACCTTTACAGTGTTCAAGCCATATTTGTTTGTAAATGTTATTTGATATTTTATGTAGCACTTTGGTAATTATCACTTGATGTAGTGATGTTGGGTTGCCTGGGCAAATCAGCCAGTGGATATTGTCCTCAGTTGCTTGAGTGCATCTGTTGCAGGTTGGGTTTGTGTATTTTTTGGAGTGTTGATAATGTAGGTTGAGCAGTGTTGGTAACTCATCTAGTAGAAATTTAATTTTAAAATTCTTCTTTAGTAATAGTTTGGGGTGTGTAAATCTTGTATGTGGTTTATTGTTGAAGTTGATAAATTGGTGAGTACTATTCCAGTTTGTGTTTGATCGTATATTTTGCCAGCTACTTGTTCTGCTAAGAGAGTGTGATTCAGCAGTATTTCTTGCATTTTGTAGATATTGAATAAAACAATGAGTTTTATGTTTTGCTGGTATATTGTTTCATATAAAATAAAAGTTGTTGTTGTCTAATATAAATGGCACTAATTTAATTTTGTGCAGCTGTAATAAAGTTGCTAGTTGCATGGTTTTTTGAACGAGTGGGTGGTTTGCTCTGTGATCTATATAGATAAACTTGATGGTTAAGTATTTTTGAGCAATGATAGTTTGAATAAGCTGCTTGAGAGGTCAGTAATTGTGTTTCTGGATAAGGAGGTTAAGATTATATGAGTATTATATAACTGAATTAACATGATTTATAGTTGGCTTGTGAGGTATAAGTATGTTGATCTTGCTGTTGAGGAAGGTGATTGAGAGAATTGATATAACTCCAATTAGATATACTCTAGTGGTAGATAGCCAGTATATTATTGTGGCTAAAAAAGAGATATTAGTTAGTAAAAGTGTCCTAGCAAAGTTTGTCTAATTATCTAAAGTATTTAAGTATGATGTGTTAGTATATAGATATATCTGAAGGTTTTTTGTTTGAGAGTTAATTTGGCTAAGATGAGAGAGATGAAGTAAGGCAGTATTTGTAATAAATAGTTTGTCTAATAAGTTATTAGAGATAGTTGGGGCAGATACTATGTTGTTCTTAATTGGTTGGTATATTTGTTTTTTCCTAGATGGATTAAGCTTGGGATGGTGTTGTAACAGGTCATCAATATCTGTATAGAGTTGTTTTGTACTAGTTACCTTAATGGTAATGCATTGGGCAGTTGAGAGAATAATAGTACAGTGTTGATGTGTGTTTATAGTGTGTGTGTGTAAGTGTATGATTTGCATTTAATTAATAATGTATTATTAGTATTTGTAGTTAGTAAAGATACTAGCCAATGTATGATTTGTATCTGATTATTTGGCATGTTTGTTTTTGTTACAAGACCTATTAT